TTTCAATGAGTAAATCTTATTAAAGAATTCGCATTAGTTCGAATTTTCGCCGATAAGAGGGCAGCACCTCCTGGGCATGATATGTGGCGCCATCTCTGAGAGAACGAGTGAACTTTCTCCGATAAAATAATTCCGAAAGTAATTCGAAAATCAACTATATCAGGCTGGTACAGAACAAACTGCGATAGGGCACTTTAAAAAAATCCCTTTACTTTTTGCAACTTGCAGATGGAATGAAAGTAATGGCAAAGAAAATGCAGCATAAAGTTGGTGGAGAAGGAAGAGGATGCTGTTAGGACGGGGGAGAGTACGAAAGAGACAGAACTCATTCGTACTCTGGGATATTCGTGGAAGGCAACAGAATATCAACGTGTATATGTGTTTAAAGATAATTTATTCGACAAACGCAATAATGATACAGTATACGAGGTACAGATATAGATACATATATGGTTTACAAAAGATTAGCAATAACAATACTATTAGGGACACATTAAAATATATTACTGCAATATAATATACATGTGGTATGTTACATGCCCTACCACTTTGGACTTTTATTTTTCCAAAGGACTTTTTAACAACTTAGTTTTTAAGGATATACTAGGAGGAGAGTGGTGGAGACATAGGAAAGAATAGGAGATTCGGAAATTGAGTAGAAATGTTTGGTGACAGCAGCCAGGGAAGATGTTGTTGAAGGGAAAGAGGAAGATTGTTAGAAAGAAAGAGTGAAAAACAGAGATGGTAAAGATTGAGGGAACAAGGAGAGAAGAAAATGCATGAAACGTGTGCACGAGAACCAAATTATTCGGGAGGAGCGACAAAAGAGAACTCTCGAAAAAGTAGGAACTGTAAGAAGTTTAAGGGAGCGAAATGGGCCCCTCAGCGCCCATTTCCGTGAGAGCTACGACCCCTCCGAGGCCCCATAGGGGACCGTGTTTTTTTTTTTGTTTGTTTTTGAAGAAAACCCCCGAGTCCTGCGGCTTTCGCGCACAGGACTAGGGGGAAAAACCTCAGGAAGGAAAGGAAGTCGGGTCGAGGGACAAGAAAGACGCACAAGGGGGTAAGGTGAAGTTAAACGCGAAAAAGCTAAGATAAGTTAAACGTAAAAGGGACGAGTTAAACAAACGCAAAAGGGACAAGTAAAACGCGAAAGGTCTACCCTTAGTCAAGATTCACCGCAACGAAAGACCGCGGGCGTAGCACCCGGCGGCGCCCTTGCGGGCACGCCAGGACATCCCGAAGGACGATATTTAACGCTACAACCTCCGTCCCTTCCCACGGGCGAGCCCAGTGGGTTAGACGTAAGGAACCACGCCCGCCGCCGGCGGCGGGCCCCGTTAGCCATCAATCCCCGCGCAAAATGTCTCCGACAGAGGGTGACTTTATACTAGCAGGTGCTCAATAGCACCCGCACCTACCCCAAGTGCAGGAGACCCCGAAGCACAAGCACAAATAGGACTTTATCCAGAGTCAACGGACTACCCCTCCGACCTCCCCACCGACACATAGGATCATCTCTACCCACACAAGTGCCCAAGTGTCAACGACATGTTGGAGTGTTTTTAGCAAAGCGAACAAATTATACTAAATACGCGAGAGCTAGACACCTGGTTAGATTCACTGTACGAAAGACCATGGCCGTAGATACCCTAAGGGGGCTCAAGGCCCCCGTCGGGAGACCCATAAGGTCCTGTTGCGGCCACAACTTGGGCCCGACCCACTGAGAGCAAGCTCAGCGGTTGAGGCAGAAGGGCAACCCCCGACACCATGGTCTTTACGTGTAGCTGCACTAACAGGGTGACTACCCTTATATGACTACTCGAATGAATATGCTCGACCCGACCAAAGGAATAGAAAGTGTAAGACAAGCACAATTGAAAGTAATAGGGCACAGAGTGAAACGAGAAGACAGAAGGGAAGATGAAAATAAAGAAGTTAAGAAGTAGAAAAGTAAGGAATAGAGTTATAAAATTAGAGAAGAAATAAGGAAAGATATAAATCAGAAAGTAATCAATGAAATATAAAGAAGTAAGGAAATAAAGAAGAAATAAGGAAGAAAATGAAGAAGCTTGGAAATGGATAAGAGAGATGATTCCAAGAGGAAGAATGAGCGCTCCGAGTTTGGGCGTTGCCTCGAGCGCTCCCCCCACTCCCCGGCTACTCCCACTCGCCGCACACAATTTTGAGCAACTTTCAGTACTTTTAAATATTGTTGGCCGGGATTTCAGAAGTTTAAGTCATAATATCTAACTTTATGGATTTAATGAATTATTTATTCCAAATACTTAATTTATTAATATTTCAATTTGAGCGTAATTTACTTTCCATATTTTACAATTTAAATTGAAGTTTTATCTATGATATATCAATTACGTAGATGTAACAGAAATGTTTATACATATAATACTGAGTTAGGGTATTCATATCAGAATACTGAAACGCACGTGCAGTTTTGATCCAGTCTTATACTAAAATAAAAGAATTTGATATTGTACATTGGCACGCTTTCAAAATGTCTATCCTTAATAACTACCTTAATATACGGTGTAAAAAATTACAGTACAATGCACTACTTAAATAAAATATTGCTATCTATGAATTTTCTACATCTTTAAAGTTGTAACAGTATTGCTCAATCGACTTTCAATGTAGTTTCTTCAATTTCTGATGACTTTACTCTTCTCGGCCCTTGAACATCATCATAGACTGTGGTCCTTGAAGTATATGGTACATAAGAGCCCAGCACATTTTTGCTGGGAGTAAACTGAAATTAGAAAATTGTACAATGAAAACCCAGTGTTTCATGAACAATTGGCCGACAGGTTGAATAAATCTCAAAATAAGAATATATTTGCAAGAAAATTAACCATTTCAACGGAAGAAGAAATCTCACGCTGCCAGGTAGAGTGACGTTTATTTGATTAGTCAAGATTCCAGCAACAATTTCCTCTGCCACGTATTCAGGCTCAAGCATGGGTAGTAACCTTGAGGACAGAAATAATGTGCGAACGATGTAGTACATAATTGAACATAAAAAATTTATAAAATAATTACCTTGGTTTCACGCCATTGAACATTCCCGTGTTAATAAAGTAGGGACAAACAAGCGTCAAATTAATTCCAAAGAAACCGTGAGTCTGCAAAGGAGAGCCATGTACAATAAAACGCAGACGCGCGAATGGACAGGTGAAAAAAAAGAAATGTGTAAAAGTGAGCAAAGTGAAAGTTAATGGAGTCAATTTAAATCTGGCGCTGATGCTCGTACCTTCAGCTCCGTGAAGAGGCTCTCGTGATATCCAATGGCGGCAAATTTCGTTGCCGAATAATCCGTGCAGTTGTAAGTTCCCAAGAGGCCGGCGACACTAGCGACAGTTACAATGTGGCCATGATTTTCCTTCTTCATGTCGCCCAGAAAGGATTTGGTAGTCTTATGGAAACAATAGCGAGAATAACATGAAAAGAAGTATTTTGAACAATGGTTAAAGTGCTGCGAAGCAAGCAATAGGACCGTCACTACAATAGTGGACAAAAAAGAGAAATTCCATTGTTCCCTCCGTCTACAGTGAATGCATCGATTAAAGCGTGATATCGATATATTGTTATTATTATACAAGGAATCAAAGCGGGAAGAAAACTCACCCAATAGTGCGACAGGATATTGACTTTGAATGTTTTTTCAATTTCTTTATCCGGCAGATCCATTAGTGTTCTTCCACATACGTAACCAGCGTTGTTGATCAATAGTGTAACCTATAAAGATCGGCCAAGTGTATAGATTCCTTTTATCATTTCAATTTCTGTCTATGGTCCAATTCCACTTACATTCCCCACTTCAATCTTCACGGCTTTTGCTACCTCGTAAATGTCCTCCTTGTTGGTTAAGTCGCATCTGTATCCCCAACACTTTCCGCCGGATTCACGAATTTCACGTACAGTTTCCGTCAGACCTGCGATATAAATGACAGACTCGATATAACCTAATATCCACCCGATTCGTATTGAACTGTGAATGGTCCCTTTTAATGCGGCACGATGTTTCAAGTGGAAAACTTTTAATACACCGGGGAAAGGTTATGTGCTAGAAAATAGTAAAGTGCACGCGAATAGTTCCCATAGACGTTTTCACCAGAGGTAATTTAATGGAACGTTACTTTCAGGCAGTATACGGAACAATGGTAGAAAGATTCGATATAAAGTAAGATTGAATTACTGAAACGGATGAGATATAATAGAAGACAAGACAATAAGCATAGACGTTTTCACCAGAGCTAATTTAATAGAACGTTACTTTCAGGCAGTATACGCAACAATGGTAAAAAGATTCAATATAAAATAAGATTGAATTACTGAAACGGATGAGATATAATAGAAGATAGGATACTAAGAAAAAAGATTTTTGGTTACGGTTTTACCGATTTTAGTTTTTTTTTTTTATTAATGTTTTTGCTATATTATTTTTATAACTTACCAGCCTCGTTAATATCCCACAGGACTACGTGGGCTCCGAGATTTGCAAGCTTTTTGGCAATCAATCTGCCAATTCCTCCGGCTCCACCCGTTATCAATGCTACTTCCTTTTCGACACTTTTCGATCGTAATTTTCGCGGTATCAGACTCAAAATTACAGACTCGCTTATATACACTATTGCCATACCGACAAATAGTAAAAAGTCATAAACCACGTTTACAAATTCTTTAAAATTCATATCGACTTTTTCTGTGAAGAAAAATTATTATTTTATTAATTCAACCTATCTTCTTATTTTCTTCCTACGAAATGTCACTGCATGAACTATCAACATGAAAACGAAGAAAGCGAAATCGAGTTCGTGCCAAGATGAAATTCTAAATTACGAAACAATTTTATCTATTCTGAATATTAAAAAAAATACCAGGAAACCAGTTTACCGCTGTAACGGTTCAACTGTTTAGCAAAATCATTAGTTCCACGTGTCGTTTGATATTCAGCATTATAATGGGGAATTAAAGAAAATTACGAATAAAATAGATAAAAATTAAGTAATCAATTTAAAAAAAAAACATGTTTCATAGTACATTTAATAAGTTAAAAATTACAATTACCTCTCAGTGCACTGATTAAAGAATATGTATTTATTTATACACAAAAGAAATAACGGTATTCCGACAAAACAATTATAATTTCAACATTTGAAAATCACGGTCGGATACGAAAAAAAAAAATTACCGATAACACCCACAGTTCGATATGACGAGTCGGAGGAGTCGAAGAACTCTAAGATACCTGAAGATGCTAATAACGACTACGTGACCGTCGTGACGGATGCCGAATGTCGACTGTAGTTTGCTTTCTGATGCAGCCGTACCAAATCGCGTACCATAAGACGCTATACTCCGACCACAGTATATCCATAAAACGATACTATAGTAAAATGACATACGAGTAGCTATATTGTATAATATTACATATATAATTTTTTTCTACAAGATATTACAACCCTTTCATATTTATATAACGAGTCGAAGAAAAGAAAGAAAAATATTACTCAAGACGAATTGCCTAATGGAATTATCCTAAGTAAATTGATAACGTGTACCAGCTTCTTGTTTTTCCCATAAGCGCTGAAGAATCCCATAAACTCTAGGACGTCGCGGACAAGGTAAATACTGTACTACATGAAATTCAGATTCTTGTAAACAAAGCACGTCGAAGTCATTAAAACTTCAACCGAGTCCTCGGTAAGTAGGCTCTTACGAAAGAGACTGATGTAGGATTTTCAAGTATGAAATTTTGCATTTTTTTTCTCATTTCCCTTCATCTTACGCAAACACTTTTTGTCCTCGTATTACGTGATGGAATTTTAACCGAAAAAAATTATTCAAACTTCTTAACTTCCCTCGGTACAATTCCCGTATATTGAGTCGTCGTCTCGTCTGACTTCAACGTACACCGTAAAAAGTTGTGCAACGGATTTTAAGATTTCACGACGCATTATTTAGTTTCCATTACGTAATTATGCGGTGCAGGTATCGCTATCATATTTTCCGGATATTTCAAGGCACTTGCAATGCGTCCATTAATTCTTATGGACACGAATAACCCACACGGAGAGACATCACGCGTTGGACACAGCAATTTCTCAAGCACACCGACGCGAGGAGAAATAAAATACTTAAATTCAATGAAGAAATGCCGCCACAATTTACCAGTCGACAGTCGCTTATTGCAAATGCCGTGTATATAGCTATCTAATAAATCTGGAATTCTATATGGTTGCAGCGAAGCATAAAGTAGACATATCGCGCGACTGTAATTTGCCTTTTCTATCGGTTCAAGGATTCACAACAGAGCAGATGCGATTACGAGAAAGAAAGTTAGATCATAAAATTATAATACGTGGGTAATTAAATTTGTGTTATTGAAAGAAGAAAGAAGTCATTGATACCGTTTCCTCTATGTAGAATACTGCGCGCTGGCTTCGTTTTAGGTGAAAGGATCTTAAAGGGACCTATGTGGGTCGGTAGACTGTCTGTATCATGCAGGCAAGAAGAACTTGAAAAAAGAATGCGACGTTTCTTAAGCATCTCGCGTAGAGTCGAATGATTGTTGAAAATTCGAAACTGCCTATTGTCATGAGACGGAATATATCACTTTCTTGCCTGTCTAACGAAACGTCCTGGATTAGGAGTCGCGGGAAGACACTATGTATCATTTGCCGGAACATTGTGGGGACCTAAGCTGAGCGAATGAGAGAAAGTTTGTTCCTTTTATGCAAGACTTTCCTGACCCGCGAGCACTGGGTTTCTTAGATGTAAACATAGTACGATTTATCATGTGGAAACGAGCAGTTATTAGTTTGATGAGAAAGTGTGTCATTACCGACGTTTTGCGTGTCACATGATATTATATGCAGGAAATGAGTAAGGCTGCGGGGAAATTATGCACTTTTGATTAAGCCAAACTATTTCAATCACTGTCTTGAGACAGGTCATTGGTTCGAAAGATTAGATAGATAAGGATAGTCGATTATGCGAAAGTTTTGTTAATTTTCGAAAGTGAGTTTTATATTTTCAAATTTTTTTTCAAGAACCCATTTCAGATGGGGATCTAGTGGATGATTGCGGAACAAAGTTACTCGATAGGTAATTGACGTTAATGATAATCATCTACCTTATCGGCTGATGATAACAAATTTGTCTTTGCTGTCAGCAACTAAAATATGTAATTTATTTATAGAGTTTTATGAACGATCCTAGAGGACACTGTGCACGGAACTACTCGTAGGTGTAAAATTGCATTTATACCGACTTAAAAGACTTGTATACAGTATAGGTTATAAGATATTTTTTAAATAGTAAATATGGAAATTACAATTAAGGAGTCAGAGACAGTAGAGACTGTTAAAGATGTTGAGGTTCCACAGAAAGTTGAGATCCAGGAGGAACACGGGATACAAGAGACAGTCAAAAATGTTGAGGTTTTACAGGATATTGAGATCAAGGAGGAACATGGGATACAAGAGTCTGTTGTGAAAGATCTTGAAGTTCCAAAGAATATGAGCAAAACACAGCTCAAAAAAATAAAAAAACGGGAAAAATGGTTGGAACGAAAAGTGGAGAAGAGGTAATTTTTTTAAAACTTATATAAGGTAATGTTATTCATGTTCCTATAGGGATGTTTGTTTTAACAGGATAAAGGAAAGAGCAAAAGCTAAGGAGAAACGTGCTCTGGCCAAAGAAAAAAATATTGACCTGGGTCCATCTCGAAAGGCACTGAAGAGGAGTACCATGGCAGACAGTGATTGTAAACTTTCAGTGACAATAGATCTAGCTTTCGATGACCACATGATTGACAAGGATATAGCTAAACTAATTAAACAAATTCTACGTTGTTACACATTAAATAGACGAGCAGCTGCACCTATGCAATTTTCTTTAACTAGCTTCAATGGAAAATCTCAACAAGAAATGGCTAAGCACAATGGCTACGAACATTGGGATGTAAAATTTTATCCTGAAACCTACCTTAATGTTTATCCCAAAGATAAAATTGTCTATTTAACAAGTGAATCAGAGAACGTCATCGAAACCCTAGATCATGAATGTGTTTATGTGATTGGTGGTCTTGTGGACCATAACCGATACAAGGTTTTTACTTCTAACATTCAATCATCTTCATGCATTGATATCTTCAGATGAATATCCATTTTGTAGAATCTTATTAACTCTTTTCTTCACTCAGGGTTTTTGTCACAGATTAGCTCAAGAAGCTGGTGTAAGACACGGCCAGTTACCACTTAATAAGTTTCTACACATGAAAGCTAGAAAAGTTTTGACTATTGATCATGGTAGCTAAATTTTCAAAATGCTTGTAACAATATATAACAATATTATGACTCGTCCACTTTTCAGTATTTGAAATACTACTACGTGTGACCGAAGGCAAAAGCTGGCAAGAAGCTTTCCTGCAAGTACTGCCAGAGAGAAAAAATGCTCAACCGGTAGTATCAGCCGATGAAGTAGTTATTAACAATTCACAAGACAAAGATCAAAGTTAACAGGTGAGATGATTGCATAATGGTGTAGACAAAATTGATCAATAAATCGCTACCTTGTCATATATTCACGAGATCTCTATTCTCCATTAGATGATAAACTTATAGGAAAGGACGCACTACGAATAAACTGACTGGTAGATGACTTTTCAGACGATATTTGGAAGAGAAAAAGGAAGTATCTGAAGGTACTGATCGAATGAGTGGATGTGAATTTCTTTGACCGATTGGTTATTTGGAAAGAAAAAATAAAGACAGAATATGTCTTATACACAGGTGCTGCTTCATATATTTCATTGTTTATTGTTCGAATTTCAATTAAAAATATTAAGTATGATCGTTTCTACTTATCTTATTAAGTTGGTATACTATATATATTTTATTATATAGATAGATGTGTAGCTGTGTGTATGTCTCTCTGTGTATAAATAAATAAATTTCATCTATCAGTCCCCGAGTATCGCAGACTTTGAGAGAATTAAAAGAGAAAGAAAACGTATTTTGAAGTCTGCAATCACGAGAGACTCTCTCTTACGACAACTCGCGATATCTCACGATTGATTATCGCATGTAATTAAAAACGTATTACCACCCCATCGGCACAGATACGAAGATACAATTTTTCATGGATTTCGAAAATTGAAAATCAGAAAATGATAACACTTAAATTTGGCCGTAATTAATTATTAAGAAACATTGCTGTAGATACATCACAGATAAAGGCTAAAAATCATCAATTTCGCGTACAGACGCGTCTTTTACAGAAAAAAAAAGATTGCATCGACATTGGAATACATTTCCTGCTCCCCAAAAATAGTACGAATACCGAATATCTTTTTTTTTGTTTCTTGCGTTGCTACCAGGAGAAAACCATGGTCCTGCGAATAAAACTTCTTCGAAGTCGCGCAGTCTGATTGTATCAAATAAAAATAAAAGGAATAACTTAGTAAAACGTTATTGCCGTGGCATAGGAAACAGTGACTAATAAACTTATTATTAGTATTCCAAGCGGGCGCAAACGTAAAAGCAATAGCAAACTGCAAAAAAATAATTTGTAGTCTCGAGGCGCTCGATAATTATGCAAGTCGATCGATAGTCATTGGAGTCGATGAGACAGCGAGTTGCAGGATTATTGTTAATCACAAGCGTATTTAAAGCCGAAAATAACGTAAAGCATTAAGATTAAAGGATAAAAATTAGATTAAAAAAAAAGACGAAAATAGTAAAATCAAAGTAATTCAAGAAAATTCACTCAAACCACGTTCTAAGGCTGTTTACGGTCATGTAAATCAAGCACAGAAACCGGTACGTTTGAAAAACTCCATAAAAGGCTTCATCAATTGCCCCATCGTCTCACGGATAGTTACTAAAGTCGACGTCGCACGATTCGAAAAAAAAAAAAACGAAAAGGATAAATAGCGCAGAGGAATTCAAACTACATCACGCAACTCGCGACTATCGATGATCTCGAAATCGCTGTCGCTGTCATCACTGTGACTCGGAAGTTTAGGTTCTTCCGGTTGAAGTTCAGCTTCCTCCTCGGACGAGGAGCCACGTTCGAAATGGCCAGACTGGAATCGTATACCATCGGTCTCTGTTTCGCCAGTGATCAATTCCAATTCGGATAATTCAAGATCGTCGGTGCTGCCCTCTTCGTGCGACGGCATTTTCAGGCCAACCAATTCATCTTCGTTAAACGGATCTGTTAATAAGAAACAAATTTCTCCTCTTTCTCCTGCTTCGAGGTTGATCGCGAATGCGACTGACTCTTTATCAATTATCAGCAGATTATTTTGGAACTATCTTGGACTATTTGCTTTATCTGGTCACCCACTTGGTTATTCATGTTTCCACTTACCGATCTGAGCCTCTAGAGCACCGGTCGGCGTCGAAGAGTGATCGCCAGTCTCGCCGGCTCGTTTTAGAACCTGCAAATTATCCTCGGTTGCTGCAGGTAGAAATTCCTCAATCTCGCTGTCCCATTCTGCAAGCAAACAAGTTTTCTCCGTGAATGATTTTGGATAATATCTTAAGCAACGCGTTGAACTTTAACGTCGCATAACAAATGTTATTTGCTGCCACTCTTGTCTGTACATCCTGTAACAATAAATGCTAAAGTAATCATCATTCACCTTTTGGTGGCAGGACTGTGCATGGTATTCGCATCAGCAATGCAGGTCCCACCAGTATTCCCATACATATCGTATAAGCGAGGAGAACACCATTGAAGGCTCGTCCAATCAACCACAGACCTAGTGAGACGGTGCAGACTGCTGCGCAGAACTGTAAACAACAAGAAGAAAATGTGTCATGATAATGATAAGGAGCAACTAATAGCAATCTTCTGTATCGGTTAGAAAAACATGATAATTGTGCAACTCGTGCGTTTGAATATTTATCTGCAATAAGGAAACGTAAGCGAGAATTCCATCATGAATAATGACAAGTATGGTATCTGGTAAGTCATATGTCGTTATCTGTTGTTATCAGTCGCTATCGATACAAAATGTGTTTACTTTCTATCTTATCCACGTAAAGCAAATTAAAGGGTGAGTCAATAAACTCGTAATGGCGTTTCAATTTTGTCGAAAATTTATGATAATCAATGTAAATAATAAATAAAAAAAATGGTACGACAGTACTGACGTCACGTTAGGAAACAACTGAATTATACGTTACGGCAATGTACAGCAAAAGAAATGCCTTACACCTCCAGGTTGATCGTTGCGCAATTGCTTAAGATTCCGCAGCGTCGACCTGGCCCTTCCGACGAACTTGTCGATCTGCCCGGCCTTCGCCTGGGACCTGCAAGGTCGCCAAGGATACTTGCAATTTATGGTTAACGAGGCGGTGCGCGATTACGAATCCTTGATAACGGGATAAGCCAAAAACTTTATAATACAAATTTTAATATAATCTTTAATAGCAGTCTCGTGCAACGTGCTTATTCTCTGGACTTTAAGCTGTTCAGCTGCTTTTGGCCAGTTTCTAGGTATCCAAGGATTCGTAGGTGCATGCCAGCTTACGCAGGTGATTTCTCTTCAGTTTCATCCTTTGTCTGTGCTTCCAGGCTGCTGTAGCAGAGGACCACAACGAGCGCAGCACTGCTGGCTGCCGCAAAGCCGCGGACCTCCAATACGACGATCCCCCTGAATTAGAAAAAAAAAGGTTAATGCAGAATGCTGTTATCTATGAAATACCTTAATTAGGAAGGATTGGGCTTTTAAAGGAAAACTTATGCAGTGTAAATTGTATCAGATATTTAGTGAAACTGTGATTTGGGAATGTTAACAAAAATTCTATCAATTATAATTATGGATTATTAATTATTTATGGACTACGTTTTCCTTTCACTTAAATTTCAAATGACAAAGTATGAATTATTATGACTCTAATTATACCGGCATTAGTCGCACAGTTATACAATAACAAGTGACAAATACTTTCCATCCAGGAGATTCACGTATTTCTAGATATTTACATTTTTTTTTCAATTTAAAAAATATTTCATCAGCTGTTTATCTGTTTCAGCAAGTCTACTTTGAAGAATGATGGTATTTTGCAAATAATTTGCATTGATTTTGCTTTGTAAGACGACCTATATGTTTCCTACTTCTTAGACACCGTCTACAATGATTTCCCAAGTACTCACGATATTTGGGAAATTTACTCATCACCTCCACTTATAGCTACTACGCGGTAGATCCTCCTCCCCCCAGTTTTGTTGTATAAGCAACGACAATTATTTTGTACGTACAAAATAAAAAATTTTCGATAACAATTTTTTGAAACCAGACGTAGTTTCTGCTGGGCTATAATATTTCTAAAATATATATTTAGTAGATTGTAATGCCTGCGTGGACTGTTTTTCGCGTTACATACAGTTTAGAAATAACATCTGGATATCTTGGCTCGCATGCAATGTGGATATAGAGCATTGGAATGACGTGGGGGCATTATACTTTGTAATTGCGTGATGATTTTGTACAAAGCCGCAATTCACTGACAGGAAGTAACGAGTCTAGTAAGTTCAAGGTGGTTAAACACGTACATTATTTTTCGATAAGGTTTATCACTGCCCAATTAATGATTGAAACTTTGTATGTATTAGTTTAATAATTATTTCAGATAACGAGCAAAGTCCGTATGACCATATGATTTCGTAACCCACGCGAAAGTGCTTAGTCTGCATGTAACAATGTGCCGACTGTATTCGTTTGGTCTTTTTAAATTCTTTCAATAATGACTTCGGTTTTGTGTCTCGAAAAATTTCCACGCCATCCGGTGTCTTGTAAAGCCGCAAGAGACGATTTAGGAATTTCCTCAGTCTGTCTTTATATAGAAAACAAAATAACAACTACATCCACCAAGGTGGATCTGGTTACTCGTTAAAAAATAATTGGAGCATCAATAAGTGGGTCGAATCGCTATAACGCCTATTGGGATATCACAAATTTCATATCACATTCAAAACATGACCTACGTCATCGTATCTGATTCCTGATTACAAATGAAAGGGAACTATTTCACGTAATAACCTTCGATTATTCGCCATCTTGAATAACTAATATGAATGAAAGTAACGTTTGTGTATTCCCTTTAAAAATGGCATGTGCGTCAATGCACACTACTGATAAGATATCAAAAATATCACATGTAGAGATGATATCCGTTACACAAAACACGAACTTGTTGAGAATACAGTATCCAACATAAAAGCATCGATTAATCAGTTATTCATGTATGGAACAGGTGACAGACAGCCATATTGAAATCAATCAGTGGTATTTTTCGAAGGGGCTAACCTCACATGATCTCACCAGAAGAGTACGTTGAAAACAATCACCACGGAGATACTGTTAACGGAATTCTCCCACAGTAAAATGCTCTGAAGAATAGTGAAGAATCGCGTCGACGTATCCACGCGACAGTTCCACTCCTTTTCGGTTGTCTCCTTCGGTTTTGGGGTTGTTTTCCCGTGGTACAGCGACAGGGACGGTGGCCATCTTAAAATGGACACGAAATTGCTGATTGTCTCCATTCTCAGCGAGTGTCGCGTCTCCTCTCAGATTCCAGTATCGTCTGGCATGTCACGGGCACTCGGTACGAACAATGGCGATGTCTTTCGCTTGACTGTATATTTTTAGCGCGCAACAACACAACGGACTTTCCGGAACGCGGCTAACTCTCTTACTGCGCACGATGTGACGGAGCTCTTTCGTAAAATTGCGATGTTTTCGCCAGCGGCTGACCATGTGGTCGCCCCACTATGGACACTCACTGTTATCCTCTCTACTTTTTGAGTAGGAATACTAATAAAGCGTTGACAAAGGTGGCGCCATCATACAAGGTGGACGCTTTACGAAGTTAAACGTAGTCAAGGCGCCTGCCGGTAAGCAAATGGTCGTACAGGAAATGCGATGCGATCTATAATTTTAGAACTTCAAATTTCCCAATGATTCGTTATAACGCACAATGAGTTTCGCTTGACTTTTCTTCTCTCAAGTTATGCAACCTTAAGGAGACAATTGTAACTTTTTCGATGGAAATATGCAAATTATAATATTTACGTTTTCATATTCGAAGTCAGACTTTTTACGAAAGAACAAGTGGGGCAATTGAAATGCAGAAAATAGATTTTGCGAGTTCATCGATAAATACGCTTTATTCAAACAGAGTAACATTTATTCTTACTTAAAGCATATCGTTGAACTTATACCGTAAAATTTTATCAGCGACAACAATAATTATAATGACGAACGTAACCGTAATAATAATATATTCATATATAATCATAGTAATGACAATAGTGGTATAGCGCATATAATAAATAACATAATAAATAATAGTAATAATAGTTAATAGGGAGGTTAACTTAAACATAGAGCATATCTAGTAGTCGTGACAATTCACAGTGCCTCTCCCGGCGGTGATTTGAGCTTAATGCTCAAAATCGGACTGATAAATAATTTATGATCGCACGAAACATAATGATATCCAGAATAATCATATTATCGTTCGACTAAAGCTATCTTTAGTTTATTATTACTCTCACTACACGGTGCTGGTTAAATTATATTTTCACGGTAACATTTTTCATCCACCTGTTTCCCACCTTAGGTAAATAATAGTATCTCGATCTACGTCTTTATGTACAATTATCACGTTCTAATAGCTGTGGTAAAAATCATTCGTAATATGTGAAAGTATACGGTTGTCATGTGAGAGTCACGTGTCCGACTATATGTATACGGAACCCCAAGAAGTCCATGGCCGTGATGGTCCTGATGGTTCTTGACAAGTCTGAGCACACTGTTTCAAATCTATTTTGAGACTTTGCTTGCTTTCCGAAAATTTTCAATCATTACAATTTCTTTCTTCACGGTTAAGATAACTTAGTTTCGATTTCCCTCATTCGAAAAAATTGTACCGATACTACCAACAGTGAATTATTAAAATCGAAGGACAAATTTCGAAACATTTTTCCGATCAGACGTTGATCGATAGGGATTATTTTTCTGTTAATTTTTTTTTAGTTGGGTACAATTTTTTGGTAATGAGTAAATCGAAACTTTGCCATCTTCAACCATGCTTGCTCGCAATATTTATCTTTTCTTAATATACACAGTAACGATAGTTTCCAAAAAAAAAAGTTATTTCTTTGGAAATCGATGTCGACATATATATATATGTCGATATATATATATATATATATATATATATATATATATATATATATATATATCATCGTTATCGCTATTATCGTCATCAGCATTCATTCTCAAACGTACGAATTATTCTCTTGCTGGTTCACTTGTTTCTATATGTATAATATCAATATTTAATAGTAATCCATGTGTCTTCCCGTTTACTGACTAGTAGTTACAATATTGTATAGCTTATTATTATCGTCATATTATTCGTAAGTCCTGGATTCACGGGATCGAAGGTACTAGGAAGGAGAATAGACGAGGTTGGGGCAGATGAGGAGAGCTTAAGAGATATTTCGATCCTTATTAAGGGGTTCAAGGCTGCTCAGGGGCTCTACAAGGGCTATTCATGGTATACTAGTCAAGTCACTTCCTATTTACAGACAATGGAATGACCAAAGTAACCTGTCGTTTCTTTTATTCGATGCGTTCAATTAGCACGCGGGAAACCCTCTTATAGTCAGCCTTTACCATGGGCTAGAATGGCGTCGGGACGCCGAGCGTCCGTTTCGTTTTTCTCAGTTGGATGTTCAGTGATTTAGATGTGGTTCTATATGAATAATGAATTTGAATAAAACTTTGAAAAAGTGAAATATAATGTTTTTGAGGAAAAAAAAACCGCTAAAGTATTCACGTATATCTAGACGTTATTTGGATTTCAAAAAATTTCGTTAAAATTTAACAAATACCTATCGATACCTATGCCCGTACAGATACTTATATATCACCGTGACTATGAACTAATTTAAATAATAAAATAATAATTATTGCACTTTTAAATAAATATAGAATTATTAAATAAACGCAAAGTCGAGCCGTGCACCGATAACGCTAAATGCGATTGGTCGCTACTGCTCTTACCTTAGTTAAAGTCCCGTTTACATGTTTCTTTTTGACGTCACTTCAATAATTGCGAACCATTCGACTTGCGTTTCAGTAACAATCAATTCCATATATATAAATATATAGTACATTTTGAACTACAATGCAAAATTCGAATTAGAAGCGAGTAAGCAAACTCAGGGCTGATTTTCATATCGACGCTTAGCCCGTCATTTCTTTCTCACTTCTATGATTTCCATCAATGACGATCCGATAGATATTCCTCATTATAATTACTTCCTCAGTATATACAGACTATGGACAATCCTTCCGCCATTTTTCATTACACTCACTGTTTCTTTTAAAATTAATTCTTCATCGATCATCTTCTGACGCACGCACGAATCACATTAATCTTTTATCGATTTTCACTGATTGGAACTTCCGGTACACTCGCGATCACGATTTGACCACATCCGGTTCACTTGGCGCTAACGCTAAAGCCAGTAGTAGTTAAAGTATTAAGTAGAGTAATAATAGAAGTAGTAATAATAACAGCGATAGTAATAGTAATAGTGGTAATTAGTAATAGCGACGGTGTTTGATAGGGGATAGTAATGAGAGGGGGGGAGGATGTGTGATATAAGCAAGGGTGTAGATTGAGGGGGTAGATCGTGTGTGTATACAGGTGTTAATCGAGCGAACAGTAGCAGGACTACCACTGGATGTAATAACGGCAATATCAATAGCAATTGTTGACGTTAAATATTATAGTAAGAGCAGTAATGTCCAATATACAGCTAGGTTAGATTTTTCTTTTTACATAGCTCAGAGTGACCTCGTTACTTCGAATAATATGAATGCCTATTCGATTAATGACTCTTTTTTGCCCAATTCAATTATTCTGTCCGTTGCCACAACTTTTAGTCTCTTTCAATAATTGAGTTTCTCGGCCAGTCCCATTTCTATGTACAGTCTTCTCTTGGGACGTAATTCGGGCAATTGCCTTATATAATTAATGGGAAATCTGACGCAATTTTTGTTCTATGTACAAAAGATTTTCTTGTCTCTCGATGCTCCTCTCATCCTCTATCTTTGAATCTTCAGCTATGTTCACGTCGTCTACCGGGAGACCTGAGATTTATGGCTTCGGAGGATCTCTACAGTGTGTTCGGCTTTGTTCGGCACGTTCAGCTTTACTCGTTCCAGAGTTCCCAGAGGTCCTGCGCCAATCGGAGTGATGCGTCGGGACGCCGAGAATAAGGATCGGTGAGACGATCAGCATACGTTGACGTCCTTGTATTTATTCAGGCGCGACGTTGCCCGTGTAGGAAGCTTCAGGGATGGTCTCAGATGGGCGTGGGGAGAACGGTGAAGTCCTGAAGGGCGGATTTAACAGTCTCATAAATCGGCCGGTTGCTCTCGTCGGTACAGTACCCGTCGGCTGTGCAGAGGGTCTGCAATTTCGTTAGGCAGCTGTCGAAATTCTCGTGTCCCATTTTCTCCGGCGGACCGCCGAGGCTGTTCGGTATTCGGACGTTCTCCAGGAACGTGATCATGTTCTCGCGCAGGGACTGATAGTACTCAGTGAGGTTGTTGTTACGCTGAGATATGACGTTCGTCTCCTGAAATACAGATAGCGACTCGATAAACTTTCAGATAAGCGAATCACTCTATGTCTAAAAAAAATATCGTGTGACCAGCTACCGATATATTGGCCATTCAAGATACACGAATAACGTGGGATCTGCTTTTTTGGAAGTTGGGAACGTGGAGAACCACGACGTGGAACGAGTCTCGCGTGTTACTGGACTGATTTGGTAAAGCCAGGAGTTCATGGTCGACGGAGGATAATAATTTTGATGGCAGATCGCACGTTTACCAACAGATGAGAGACACGTGCGAACTTACCTTGTCTCCGTGCTTCAACTGATTCTCCATGGCGGTAATGTCGGAACGCAGGCGCAGCACCTGGGACTCGACGCGAGCATTCTCCTTCTGTAATTCCGTGATCTCGGCCTCCAGTGTGTAAAGATCCTCGCCCTGACCACCGGCAGAGCCGCTACCGCTCGTGCTTCCCTGATTCGCACCTACCGCGCCACCCTGAGCCGGACCACCGGCGTCCACCCCTGAAGGACAAGCCCCGTTTAACAGTGGCTTCAAAGCACCCAGTTCTTTTTTCTCTCTCTATCCTCTAGCCTCCTGATTGATTCCCTTTCTCATTATTAGCATCCTTCTTATACGTGTTTCATACTCGTCATTGTCATCCTTATCAATCTTATCATCAGTCCCATGTATGATCCTTTGTTCATCTTCCTCAATCTGCATAGTCATTTTGCATGATATGTCTATAGATGTAGAAGATGAACTTGGGACGAAGATTTGAATGATGATTAGAATGATCTTGTCATTTTTTTTCTCTTATCTTTGATACATTCTCTCTCTCTCTCTCTCTCTATTTTCTATCGGCAAACACTTTCCTTTGATATCTTACCGCTTATTGCGTATTCCAATACAGATAATACTTAAGCTAGGCGATTTCGTCTAGAGATCGAGCGACGTTCGTATCGTCACACTCTTCCTCTTTGTTAGACACATACCAGACTATGTATGTATATAATGGAAATACGGACCGTTTGCTAAGATAAATAATAAAAAAAAAATAATGCCGAGATGCTCTTAAAAGTGTGCTAAAGGACAGTAGAGTAGTACACGAAAAATTAGCGAGCAGGTATCAATGAATATAATAGCAAGACAAGAATGGAGCACTGGAATCTCTTGATAAAATATTTCAAGTATAATTTTTTCTATTTTTTTTTTTCTTCAAAATTTCAAACACAAAAATATGAAAATTATTGCGCGAACAACATGAATTTACAATGAATGTAATATTTTCGTCAACGGCGTAAAGAATCTTCAGTGGTCCATACTTGAAAGACAAAGTAAGACGTAGGCAGAGACAAAGAAACAAGAAATTAAATGGAAAGACAAAATGACGTATCTACACGGCAGGGATGAGATGGATTTAGGGAATTGCGTGAGGTGCCATCATACCAGATATAGAACGAAGGGAGATCCTGAGTGCTGGCAACCTTCGACCTCATCAAAATCAGGAGGCGTTTCTGTCTTGCTAAAGTGTCTTCGCGATAATTTGAAATATTCAATGAGCTACTAGTGAGACATTCTCGCGGGCCAGCACTCAGACATCGCATCTTGCAAGACACTCGTGGATTTGTATGTAACATCGAATACACATAGAACAAGTGGCGAGTAGGTCAGTCCCTTACCTTCAAAAGTAAATGTTCTCCTCAAAGCTCAATGCCAGGAAAGGAGCTGATCATGATCCCAGAATAAATCAGAATAGATTATTTTTCATCATAGTGGCATCGGTTCGTTCGGCTTGTCACTATCTTTCTTTCTTTCTCTCTCTTTTTTGTCATTCTTTTTCTTTTATCTAGTTTCCTTTTACCTCCTTCACCATCATTACTTTCTCTTGCACATTGGATAAGGATTGCCGGACGGGACGTTTTTTGGGACTTGCGAGGTATTCTTTTTTTTTCTTTTCTTTTTTTTCTTTTTACAATTTATGATCCAGGTGTTTCGCCATGGGACGACGCGTTGGAATTCTTTCACGCACATATGCTCTCCAGCTCAGACATTGAGTGCCGATTGTCCTTGATATCTTGGGATACAATTGAAAATCGGTTAAACGTACTAGCAATCATTAGGGAAACACCTGGATCGTTTTGCGCGAGAGAGACAGAAAAAAGTGAGTCAACGAAAAAAGAAGAGAAAAGATAGCAATAAAAATGAGTGGGCTCTCAAGTGAAATTAATCAAGAAAAAAAAACTAGCTATAGAAGAAGTGAACAATTGAAATAACACTGTATCTCCCTGAGAGACACGTAGGCAAATGATATCAATAAAACTGGGCAAGGGCAAGGGCCGGGGTAACCTCATTGGTATGACAGCACATCATTGCATGGAGAGCAGAGCAGAGCATAGCATAGCACAAGGTCCAAGTACAAGATCAAATATGCACAAGATTACAAATAAAAGTACGATATCGCACGTTCTAACGTCTATGCCTAATTCTAATGTTCAAAGTGTTGGCTCGCGCCGCGAGCCTTTACGGCTCGTCATGCTACTCCGTGCCAATAAATGCACTACTGATCCTTCCCGCCTGCCTGGTTGCGCGACCTTTTCACATTTAATGATCACCTCGTTTTTTCTTTTTTCTTTTTTTCATCCCCTCAGACACCTCAGAGTACCTCAAAGATCGTTGGAAGAGGATTCGCGCAGCCAGTAAAGCGGGCCGGGTGCGATTATCGCGATGACGTTTCTAATCCTCAGGACGATCCTGGAAGGCAGGACGATACGAAGGGCCGAACCGATCAGAGACTTTAATCGCTATGCCCTCATCGCTGATACCTTTGCTGTACATGCTTGACATGTCCTCGAACTTGGATTTCTTGACTGCGTGACCGGCGATCGGACATCCCGACAGAGATCTGTGAGTTGAGAACGAGCCGTTTATGTGTCCTATCCCGTCGCAGCCAGGAGTTGGACAATTGACTCCTTCGAATTTCATTGCCGTCGCTGCTGCCACTGCCGCCTTGTGCTGTTCAACCGTCCCGCCTGATTCTAGGACCCGCAGCTTGTTCCGGTTCGCTATTGGACAACCGGATGCACTGGAATACAAGAGTAGTAAATATTATTGATTTTTCTTTTTCTTTTCAATTGATTACGCTCTACGTTTATTAGCCAAGTACGTTTATCCTTCGTCTTTATCAATTTTGCATCTGCCCATAGTGTCTTACCTGCGGTGGGACAAAAATTTTCCAGTAGCGTGACCGGATCCGTCGCAGCCTGGGATTGGACATCTGCAGTCCAAAACCGCAAGCATCGCCATTATATACGATCCATATAGCGCAAGCGTGAAACGGGCGGAAACCGCGAGATATTAGTCAGCGTCTTCCCTTAGCTTAAGGTTAGAGAGGGTTTTACGGTGTAAGGGTACAGAGTGGTACAGGAGGGATCTCCTAAGGAGTAGTCAGTCTAGGTTAGCCGGAAACGTACCAGTCATCTTGGCACGTAAAGCACGACGTTGAATAAACCACACCGGAAGGAAGGAAGGAAGGAAGGAAGTAAGTTGAATATCGTGAAAGGTAGCAGAAATTCAAACTGATTTCAAAACTGACCTCAATGGCTCTGAGTCTTGTCCGTCCCTGGGTTTGCTCTTGGGCTTATTGGCACGAGGACAACCCGACAAACTTCTGTGGGAGGAGTAATTTCCGGTTACGTGTCCAGAACCATCGCATCCTGGCGTCGGACACTTCAGTTCTTGGGAGTGGGCCTGAATTTGGGACCGGTCAGCCCGTGGACAACCGGACAAGCTGAAATGGAACAAAAGTGATGTTAGTCCAGAACTGGCTCTGGGACACCATGAGGACATGGGTCCAGGCTCGGACCGTAGAGGATTTCTCAAAGTCGTGAGGTCGAATGAGCTTGCTCGAGGACACAACCTGGACGATCCTCATGATGCTCAGCGAACACCTCAAGAGTGTCCATTAATGGTGTATCGGGAGTCGTCGCATGCAATGCCGCGACGTTGCCAGCAGACACGGTCTTGAGAATACTTACCGGTCGCCTTTTCATAGACCTCGGGTCAGAGGTCATTGTATACTATAAGCCCTGAGAGCAGTCGGTAACTGTATTCTCATTGGTAGACTCTGGACTTACTTGCTAAGGTCGTATATAGCTATATCCAAATGGAATTTGTACAGGTGCTCGATTATTTGTAAATAGACGGTAACACAGCTTCTAATATCTAATAGAAATAGTTCAAGAATTCACTGGGACAATCATTCGTGCGAAGCGACCGGCGGAAAGGAGTCCCTTAATCGACACTGCCAATTGGCCGAAATAGGATATTTATGGGGTCTAGCTCATAGGCAATAGGTTATGCGCAATACGTAATATATAGCATGCAAATGGCAACGTCGTGTTCCATTTGGATCACTCATGAGGTGTCGCTCGCACGTGGAGAGTAAGACTCTCTGGACAGGATATATATAGTAAATATATATATATATATATATGCATTGTATGTAAAATAGTCAAGTCAAGTCAATCTTACTCTAAGAACACTGAATAGGGAGAGCCGGGAACACACTCACACCTGACCCCAGTGAAACTCGCCAATTGCCAATTGTATGTACTATCATATCACTGCGTATTGGAGCGTCCGTAGTACGTATTATCAGTACGCACTCTATATGAGTAATTTTTTGGTTATCTGTTCTGACATGGTCATTGACAACAGTTCGCTACGGTGCTGCCCACTCGAGGCTGGCGGAAGAGAGTAGCGGCTTTTTATATGAAAATTCCTAATACAAAGAGGCTAACTTTTTTTTTCCATTGGAATAACGAATGACGCGATGAAGAGAGCGAGATAAAAAACGAAATAGGAAAGAGTGAGAGCGAGAGAAAAAGAGACAACGTGAAAATAAGAGAGAGACAGAGACACTCGATTTCGGATTCCATGAAATTTTCCTATACTCTTTAATCAATTTTTTTTTTAAATAATTTTCCTTTTCTTTTCGTTTCTCTGATCACTTTTTGATTTGTGATTTTGTCATCCCTTTTCGTAGGGGTCGGGTCGAAATTGTTGGGAGGGTACGAGACGTCATTCAACACGAACTTATCTACACACCTGATACAATCGTAAACGTACGTGTACGTAAGAGACACAAAGAGTTTATAGGATTAATAATAATAATAATTAAAAAAGGTATATAATATGCTGGTACGCAGGTATACAAACGCATCAAATACAAAATGGCGCAAAACTAGGAACAAGGGTTAAATATCTAGGTCGAGTGTCGCCAAACACTTAAGAAGCCACTACGCCACGGAACCATCAATATGCATTTATGCATTGCACATAATTTACTTTCGAATATTGCTCTGATCGTGAGTGTAGGTCAAAGGTTATTTCATATATCGTGTCACGTGTTTCCATTTATATATGTCATGTATGCATCCCCTGTATACCCTCCGTACGCCAGGGTAATGTCTCCCACGGGGTTCAAGTGTACCGGGATAAATTTATTTAGAGTCAAAAGACTCTGTAGGAGAAAATTAAAATGACTTTTTTTTCAAATTACGTATTCGTGAACGATTTTTTTTCTTGCGTAAAATTCTTTTAGCGTATGATTAGACGTGCTGGCGTGCTTGTCGCGGGTGTATATAGTGTACATATGTTACATAGGTAAAGTCAATCTGAACGTCAATGCCAGTGTCAATTCACATGTCACTGTCAATGTCCTTGGATCAATGCCTTGCCTTCTGTGGGTAGCGTAGTTCCCCGAGACATGACCCATGCCGTCACAGGAAGACGTGGGACACTGAATCAGCTCCTTGCCGTCGCGGCCACGAGGGGCAGCAGGTCGTGCCGCGAAATTCAACGATTGCCTCCTCATCATATTCATACTGGATCGAACAGTAACAATAAAGTCTCGAGACGTGTACTATATATGTATTTATATATATATACAGGGACTGTGGACGTAGCCTAAGGTCATTTTCGCAATTCTTCATATCCTGCAGGATTTCTGACCGCTCGCTGATAGATGCATATATGTATACGTATATCGTAGGTCATTGACTCTAGTCAATATGTACACATATATGTATTTCTTATAATTTTTTAAAGCTTGCCGAATCCGTCCGAGCGGATTAATGGAATAAAAAATCTATAAATCCTTTCTAAGTTGCTATGCAAAAATGTTCGTTGCTCTACAGAGGCAGTGCTACGGCCGCTTCGTCTCTCTTTTTCTCTTTCTCTCTCTCTCTCCATGGCGAAGAGGCGGAAGGAGGAAACGTGGTTGGCCAGTGATAGCTTCGCCTTCTCGTAGGTGTACGAGCAGCTATGAGAAAGCTCGATGACCCTTGAGTGGCCACGATATTGCCCGTACAGTCCCATAGTCCCGTAGTCCAGGGGGCTCTCCGGTTTCGCCATCACAGACTTGAGTGCAATCACGCTCAGGGTACCACTGTGTTTCGGTGATCCGTCCACTCCGGCCCACTCTGGGCTCTTTCGCTCTCTCAGACTCTCGTCCTGGGAATTCGGCTCTTCTACGAGGAAACCCTCTCGTTATACAGAAGGAGATATAGCAGTAGGTAGGAATTGCAGGATATTGGGATTCGTCTCACGTAAATAGATTTTTGACAGATTGACTCGTGTCGGTCGGTAAGAACCGCGATGGCCGATATAAACGGATCTCGAGTTGGCTGTGCCAATAAACGTTCTTGTCTCTCACGTCCTCTTGCTCTCTCTCTCTCTCCCTCCCTCTCTCTATCTCTTGCCGTGGATGCTGCGGCAGCACGAGGAGGAGGCACCTAATACGGTTAGGACGCGAAGCCTGCTATATTAGCTGGTTATATTGGCCGGAGCCATTAATAACGTTGAAGTATCGCTATCGACTAGTTTCGGTCGAGCCGTATGCTCCGGCATTCTAGACGATCCATTTACCGTCCGACAACCCGGGGAACGAGCCACTAGGACGATTTAGGAGACTCCAAGGACGTATCTACTTTCCTCTGGGTGGGGAGTAGGCAGACTTTTCATTTATATACCTCCTGGAGACGTAGGACGTTGGATAAGGGTGACTGTGACTTCTTGAAGATTTTTCTTTCCTGGGGACAGAAGGTGCGGTATGCTTTGTATTAGGATGACAGAGGAAATCGAGGAGGATGCTGAGGAAGAGAGCTGTACCAGTTTCTCGTAGGATCCCAAGGTGTTACGGGTTCTAACCCCGACGGGACGCTAGGGCGCCGGGACGCCGGGACGATGGGTCTCGCCCCATAATCCAGTGCGGTGGCAACTGATTATATCCCATCCTTCCCTAGCTAGCTCTACACCACCTTCCCTCCTTCGGCGCTGCTACCACGTCCTCCGGATTCTCTAACCTTATCCACAGCCCCAACCCTATACCGCCGAGCTTTACGTCAATTAGAATAAGGTTGGCACTTTCGCTACGAAGAGTAATTACTTTAATTAACAAAATGGGGAGGTGGTGGGTATGCGCGCCGTCGAGGCGCCAAGCGTCCGTTCGCCAACCGTTTTCTCATCTCGATGCAAGGGCGACCGAGTTACAGTAAAACGGAAGTGAGAATCATCTCGCCAAGGGCAAAGGGGTTTACCTCGTTTCCGCTCGGTCGGTTCGGCTAACCTTTCAACCGTGAATCCTAAATCAGGAACCGTGAACGAAGTAACCTCACGATACGACTGACAATTTTGACAATGAGGATTAAACTAACTTCAAGGAGTTACAGGAAACTCTTACCTATCGTCCTTGCCCGAGGGTTTATCCAGGGGACCGATACTGTGCTGAATCGGTGGCATACTGTAACAAGGTGCCGGCGTGTATCCCGCAGGAATTTGATAGCCGGATGTAACAGGACCTCCTGGATAGGACCCTCCGCAATTGTATCCTGCACTGGGATAAGGGGTATAAGTATTTCCTGGATACTCTGCCTGGACACCAGCCATGCCATATCCTGGATGAGGACTCATGGGTCCGTAGCCTATGAAACAGAAAAGAAATTCAAATTTGAAATATCAGTGAGGAAACAAAGATGAAATTTTTTAATTCATTCACCTAACGGTACAGTCACTCACAATAACAGGGTCTAGTAAAGCGCTCCATGCAAGGGTGGATTTCCAATGCAACAACCGTACAGACTGTACGGTGGCGGAGGGAACAGCGCACACCAATGAAATACATGGCAGTTGATTAACCGTTGTAAAATCCATACGTTTATTTGCACGCAAGAATTCATTCCGCCTGTGCCCGCACAAATAATGTAAGTCCGTACATCCGTGTGCGCACACGCCACCCACAAAAACTGTGAAACAGCTGCAGGGGTTGCCAGTCCCTATCCTCGCGACGGTGTTTCTCTGTTTTTCAGTGCGTTTGCCAACAGCCGTGACGTATCGGTGATCCTAGGTCCTGGTGATTGTGGTCGTGCATTCGAATGTTTCAATTTCAATAACTACTCCCTGGGCGTCGCTACTGTGCAATATTGCCAGAATTCGGACTGCGCTGGACTTTTGCTTCGTGTATGCGAAATATTGATAATTAACAATGGCCGTGTCGCACACGTTGGCTTCGGCGTACGTGCTGGTACTGAATCGACAGGGGTTGTACTGGGAGACGCACCCCGAGCTTTGGGCGAAAAGGTCCACAATTTCGGAGGGTGAGAACTCAGCAACAGTACAGTGGAACATAGTGAGGTTATGTATGTAGCTATGGGAAATGAGTCGAATATAGGTAGTTATTACTGATGCTGCGTGCTGTTCTATTGGAATTTTTTATTCCGGGGTTGTAACTGCGTTCATCCCTGGAGGCATCGTGCTCTTTGTTTCATTCCATCTACTGTTTTATCTAAATTCTGCTTTTTTTTTGTTGGAATCATCTTTTTACTATCGTACGAGTGCTATTAGTTACCCTTTGATACAAAGGAGTTGAAATGACGTTTCAGGACATTGTATTATTGACATTACATTTTTTTCACTCCTTCAATTTACTTGAATAGTAATTTTGAGAATTTTTGGTTAAAAAATTGAGATCTGGTTCTGGTTTTATATTTACATATGTGGAACGAATAGGTGGTCTGATCGAAGGGTTGAAAATTTCATGAAAAATGGAAAAGAACGTCCGAGGTGGTTATTTTATTTTTTGGATTATCAAGAGGATTATCAGAAGCGAAATATGATAATGGCTCACCAGTGGGATCTCGGTAGGCGTCCATGTAGTGGGAACCACCGCTGTCAGGGGTGCTTTCTCGACTGTAGGCCGCAGCGTGCACCCCAGGAGGTGGAAAACCCGGAACAGGCCTGATGCCGGGACCCCCGCTGAAGTTGACTGGTTCGGTTGCCGTCGAAAAGTCCACGGGTTCCGTCTGTTCCTCGATGGGTCTAGGGGCAGGAAATCCAGGTCCGACCGGGACAGCAGCCACGGCTTCACCATGACCGGTCGAGTACTGAGGACTTGGTGCGCCGCTGTGTAATTCAAAAAGGATTTTTATTAAGATCGATCGAGGAGTCCCTGAGGAAGGTGTGCCTAATGCAGATGAAAAGGGACGCTATGAGAGACCTTAAGGTAGATTAGCCTATACCTTACCTATGAAGCCTATTTACGCTGAGGTCGAGGGTCTGTCCCTGAGGACTTGGAACTTGGGGACTTGCTGTGAGATGGGGACTGGCTGCGGCTTGGGGACTACCACCAACAGTCTGACCTCCACCATACTGAGGACTTAAACTGTTCGAGCCGTACGGAGGAGCTTGAGGACTCGTCGAAGTCACACTCGAGGTAGAGAGGTCCATGACCGAACCTCCTGGAGACGTAGGTGGTCCTCCGCCAGGTTTCTGCATTTGCTGAACCTGAGCGACCGTCACGCACTTAACTGAAATTAAACAATAGATAAGAAAAAAAAATATAGATAAGACAAAATCAATAAATATCAAAGTACAAGTAAATCCTAGATTTCATACCATCCTCGGTCTTCATCATTCCCGCAGCCGTCGCAGCAGCCATAGCCATTTGATGCTGCTGGGCAGCCGCCGCTTCCTGGTGATAAATTCTTTCCTGTTCCTCGGGAGTCATTCCACTCTGGCCCAAGTAATACATATTCGCCCTGGAGTGCAGCTGTTGCTGTGGTTGAGGTTGAAGAGGCGCACAAGGCTGGGCGTCGTATCTCTCGTACGCCGAAGCAGTGCCAGGGTCGTAAGGTCGGTGATTGGCTGCGCTGACGACGACGTTATCGTAACTCCTAGACGCGACAATGTCATTGGAATAGGTAACAACGGGCCTGGCAATATTTCCACCCCCAGCATGCATATACGCTCTTGCATGTTCCGCTGATCTGTGATGATATAGATCCTCGGCGGATGTAGGAGGACCAGCAGCGGCAGCAGCAGCAGCGGCTGCAGCCGCCGCCGCCATCATTGCAGAAGACTCATACGGTGACCTCTGGGTCATCTGATGAGACGACATCCTGGTATCCTCCACCATAGGCATAGGGTAGGTAACCGTAGGCTGCATCGGTAAAATGTGATGGGTGGGATGCTGGGTCGGATGATGAATGGTCCCACCTATGGACCTGGAGCCCATCGCCTCCATGGATGACAAGGACGAAGAATTTGAATCCTGATTGAGATAAGAATCGTAGGCCTGTCTAACTGGCGGTGGTGGGGGCGGCGGTGAGTTCACCCTACAGGAAGATGCCTCCTCGGACTTGGGTACCAAAAGATCCGACCCCTGACTCCTTCCAGGAAGAGAGTTGCAGCAGCTGCTATTCGTCCCTCCGGTTTCACTTTTAAGTACGACCTTACTGGACCGAGACGGAGTCTCCTCCGGTGTTTTAGGCGGTTTTATATTGATACCAGCGGCTTTTGTAGCGGCGTAGTAATCATAGGACGGTGACATCACTGGTTTCACGTCCTGCGTGCTTCCACTGTACTGAGCGTAACACTTGGACTCCAATGATCCCGGAAGTAGATTCGAACTGATGTATTCCGGCGGCACTACTGACACTGTCACGCATCAAAGTAACAAAAATATTAGTATTATTGATATCATTCGTAATTCCTCACAACAATACTGCGACGCATGCGCCAAACAGCTACGGCAAATCTTACTGGCAAATCAACGTGTAAAATCTAATGAAACAAAAGTGCGATAAATTAAAATTCGTACGTGGTAAAAACAAAACTGGTATATCATTTTACTGTACATAAGGGGACTTCGGTTGATTCCTAATCGGCGACCTGCCTTACCTTGTGCCTTGTGACGGGCCTCGCGTGCGGCCTGCTTATTGGCCGCGACGATGGGACATCCGGACGAACTCCTGTGAGTGTTGCGATTGGCGCTGACATGGCCACGGCCGTTGCAGCCAGGCGTCGGGCATTTCAAAATAGTCTCATGCATCGCCAGAACTGCGAGAACCCAGACGCGCCAAATTACAGACCGAGTCGACGCACAGACATACACACACACAGCAGAATCTTTTTTTTTTCTTTTTTTGTTCACATTGAGTATAATATAATGCCATCGCACGAGATTGCACTTTGACCTTGCATCCCGTATACGCGGTTAACGATTTCTCGCTTTCTTTTTTTTTTTTTGCGGATTCGGAGAGACTGATATCGAGATTAAGGACACTGAGTACAATTCTATATATGAATATGTGTATATATATACTGTGTATATAGATATATTAATATATACGTAGAGAGAAGAATAAGATAGAGATCCATAGTGAAAGAGGAGATATAGATTAGAGAACTAGAAAAAAGTGAAAGAAACAGAGTGAAGTACACAACGTCACGGATTTAAACATAAATCAGTAATATATATATATATCGAGCGGGTAGAGAGAAAACAAGTAAAGATACAATTAATCGAGAGATCAAATTATAAGACAACAACTTGCAACACCTTGTGTAATTACAGTGGCGCCTATACATTGGTTCGTATATATGTATATATATTTATTTATTTATTTACATTTATATGTACATATATATACATATATTATCAAATTGTCGTTAAAGGGGAGGGATGCGCGGCTGAAAGATTTCGTATGACGTTTCGAGGAAGATAATAACGAAAATCCGATTCTCAGGGTGTGTTTATAATTGTGTCGGCAAATCTTGTCGTAGCTGATGAAATTGATCATTGATGAATCTAACAGTTCGAGAATGTGTATATGGAGACTGGGATAGGATTTTGAGTAGAATTATAAGGGATGGGAATAAGACGAATAAGGGATGGTCCGGGTAAGGGTCGAACAGAATGAAGATCGAAGAGTGAAGAATGAAGAGTGAAGAGCGCCACCACCAATGGTGTTGAATGCTTGAAGCTCTCGATTTTTTAAATCGCTTTCACATTATACTCAATGCCATCGCGAAATCTTTTCTTTCTCTCTCTGACACGTTCTCTCTCATTCTCTCTCCTCTCTCTCTCGCTCTCTCGCTCTCTCGTGATTCTGGCGTGTGCGCATGCCGGCTCTATTTGCCCGTTGGGCTCTCGAGTCCTCTCTCTCGCTTTCTTTCACTCTTTCATTCTTTCCCTTTCTCGCTTTCTCTCTCTCTCTCTCTCTCTCTCTCTCTCTCTCTCTCTGCCGGCAACACAACCAAGTCAAGTGTCGTGATAATTCTACTAATGAACTACAAACAGAATGATAAATTAAACGGAAGTGAATGCAATAAATAAAGCTCTCTACCCCGCAAACGAAAAGCACAAAGGATAAACATATATACGTTACGTAACACATATAAACACACGTAACGCGCACAACACTCACGCACCCGCAAGTAAAAAGAAGGAATCACAATTTGACTTTCCTTTTTTTTTTTCGTTTTTTCGTTTTTCATTCACCGTATAAATTTATACGTCACGGGGTACGTAGAGGCGAAGAACGTCGAGGCGAGGAAACGGCCAGAAATTAGACTTTTGATTGGACAATTTTTTATGTAAAAAATATTGACGCAAGGGAAAAGCGAATGCGAGACGAGAGGCGCGAAAAGCAACCGAGATTACCTCGCGACGCTCTCTCGCATGTTGTGCGATGTTACTTTCTTTTTTTTTTATGATTTTTTTGCAGAAACAGAAGATGCACTACGAAGAAGGTATGAAAACGTGAGAATTTTTGCTAATTCTTTCATAAAGATACTCACTCTCTGGCGTCAGCTTGTCTTTGCGGGGACAACCGGATAAACTGTAAGTGATAAGAGAGAACGTGAAATTAATGACAGTTATAAGATGTAAATCGAGCAATAAAATCAATACGCATGATCTTACGTTATTGGGATACTCAATATCTCAGATAGTTCGTTAAGTGAAATTAATTCGCACTTGCGGTTTCGTACGTATACAATACAAAGGTATGTATATGCATACAGAGATACGCAGATATAACGTAATCGGCATTGAGCGAGTAGGTTGTTAATTACTGATAATTGCTCACCTGCGATGGTGGGAGTACAGTCCGGTCACGTGACCCTGGCCCGTGCAACCAGGCGTCGGGCACTTGTTGCCTTCTGCAACAAATCAAAGCAGCGCAACCGCGCGTACGCCAACGTTAAATCCTGGTTATGATTAATTTGATAAGAATCGTGTTAATTAATTACGCGCCTCGTGCCGTTATCCATCTAGATTCGGTACTTGATCAATCTAACCTTCATTCCGTTAATTCTGTCCTAAGTAATATTTTCATTGTCAATTTGAGTACATATTTAGAATACCATTGTCATTCTGGTGGCGGCCATTTTTACTTCGTTAATATCATGTCATCCGTACTGTAGATCCATAAGGTTAGATACGCACTTGCTACCCTCGAGTTGTTCCATTTTATAGGAATATACGCTGCTCCTGTATCCCCTAGGTAGGAACCCTCCGCGTCGCATGCATTTGAATGGAAATTAACTATTGAATCGTTGACAACCGACGTGTCCGGCGTCACGACGCTTCGGCCAGATAGGAACGTCGCGATTCGAGTTTCGTTTGACACGCAGCGCACACCTCGCCAGTTATCAAGAACGTTGCCCGGTGCTTAGGTACTTTGAGTTTCCATGAAAGTTACGTCGTTAGAGGTTAAGGCGACGGCCGTGGCGACGGCAGCGCCCTTTGGTATAAGTAGTTTTCCTATCTCGTGAGTACCTATACCGTCTGACTGTCACATCTATTATTCTTTCTCCTGGTACATGTTCTCCCCATTGGCTATCCAGCCGCAAGGTAAGGAAGGAAGTATTACTCTTTCTCTGCTGTAGCCCTAATGCGTCAAGTCGGTAAAGGGAAACAGAATAAAATGGCGGCAACTGTGAGAAGTCTCGCGTGTCGTGAATGCGTGCGTTTCACGAGCAGAAAAGGACGTCGGTGACGTTGTCGTCGTGGTGGCGATTGTCGGGCGTAGTCATCGTGGCGTGTTGGTTGTTGCGTATTTGTGAATAGCCTCTGGGATTTCGCGATCCCGTGCTTAAGCCCTCGAGATTAACGCCAACCGTGACCGACGTAGAGACAGCAACGAAACAAAGGGTCCCTTCTGGCCGTTTCTACGAACACTGCCTTTGGAAGTACGCCTTGAGTATATCGTTTCGTTTGATGAGAGACCCAATGAGACAGCGGAGAAACGTCGAAACGCCTACGAGGAAGACGTTCGTAATACCCTGAGAAGCGATTCGACGTAGTTCGCGTGACTTGAAAATTATGTGGCAGTTGGAACCCGCTGCGAAAATCGCTACCGTTTTGTGACTTCAATACGTGCGACTGTGGATGCATGTCACCACTGGGGTGGTTAATAGAGTATGTGGGGCACCTTTATGTAACGACGTATACCCAGGACGTAGGCTGCGTATACACAGGTTCCTGGGAAGGCAGGTAAAATAATTCTCTGATTAAAGCGGGATTACGTGGGTTCTCGATGATCTGAGTAAGGGTGCCCATAGGTAGGTCCGTCACGTGTGAGAGGATATGGAAGACGAGGGTGAGGATTTTCAGGGGGCGTAGCGAAAACCATTGCAGGCTGTGTTTTTAGGGTGTTCTCAGGAGTGTTTAGAGGATCCTTTGGTGTATGGGTGAATACGGATACTTTTATAAACTTTGTCATGTACTAATCCCTAAGGCCTGATCCCCACTCGCTCGTTTTCTCTATCCCGGTTGCCATCACGGCGAAACTTCATCAGGCCGTCATTTCGCGTAGCCGAGACTCGATCCCTGCTTAGATGGGTGGCTGCTTCGATGGTTGGCTGGCTATGTTCCTTCAATCCTAGGACCACCCCATAAATTGGATTACGATACGTGACGTCATTAGAGGCATGCTTTATTTTCAGTGCGAGCGACCTCGATGCCTGGAGCGATACTATACCCAATACAACCACCCCTCAAGAGCATCCCCCGTTACGCTGCAATACTTCTTTTAGTATCTTTAATTAGATCGTTATTATTATGATTGTTCGATACAATTATCAGCTGCAGTAAGAATAACAAATAGTATATACATACGAAGAATTTCTTTAAAGGGAACTCGACCTGTTAACACGGAGAGGGTAATGCTTCCGGTCAACAAAATGAATACCGGCACGCGCCGTTCTTTCCGGACGTCTGAATAGAGTTGTAACGAGCCGGACGCGATGGACGCTGCTTTTTCTGGAGGGAAAAGCCAGACAGGGTGGCAGGGTGAAAGAGAGACATATGTACGTTTTAACGGGTGCGAAAGACAGAGAGAGAGAGAGAGAGAAGAACCTACAGAGGGTGAAGTAGAAAGGGACGAAAATGATAGCGTAGTGGGCAGCCTAGTGGCTCAGGGTTCAGGATTCAGGATTGAGGGCTGAGGGCTCAGAGAGGGTGAGGATAAGGGTGAGGATGAGAGTGAGGCGAGTGTGTAATTGTGTTATTTTGTAGCCATTTCATGTGAGGGTCACCGCGGGTGAGCGAGGTGTACATAAACACCAGGATTGTTTTATTCATTCGCTCGGTTGCACCCCCGGACGCGTGCCATTTTATATCCACCTTTTTTTTTCATCCCTTCCTTCCGTCCCCCTCAACCATACACTCATCGCTGCATTCCCTTACCTAATAGATTTCTAATGAAACGATCTACATTGGGCCCGAGTGCCTCTAAGGGTTGAAAACGAGGGACAGTAAGGAATGTCCGAGGGTTAAATTAGAAGAGG